AACAAGCAACAGAGGGTCCTGTGGCACCTTTAAGACTAACAGAAGTATTGGGAGCATAAGCTTTCGTGGGTAAGAACCTCACTTCTTCAGATGCAAGTAATGGAAATCTCCAGAGGCAGGTATAAATCAGTATGGAGATAACGAGGTTAGTTCAATCAGGGAGGGTGAGGTGCTCTGCTAGCAGTTGAGGTGTAAACACCAAGGGAGGAGAAACTGCTTCTGTAGTTGGATAGCCATTCACAGTCTTTGTTTAATCCTGATCTGATGGTGTCAAATTTGCAAATGAACTGGAGCTCAGCAGTTTCTCTTTGGAAAGCTTATGCTCCCAATACTTCTGTTAGTCTTAAAGGTGCCACAGGACCCTCTGTTACTTTTTACAGATTCAGACTAACACGGCTACCCCTCTGATACTTTGTAGAATGAATTATACAGATCTGAATTTAATTATTTCACTTACAAACACAGACTCAGAGCTCTGAATATGTAAAGTGCTAAGTTACCTGAAATTATCAAACTAGTAGTTAAACTCTTTAATGAAGAAATAGCTAAACAGATGGAATTATGGGCACACAGTTGCAAAGTGGTACTTTGTACTTCTGCAGGATCTAACAGAGGATCTCAAAATTATAATCATTGATGAAGTTAGCATCAGACCCTTGTAGGGTAGTTAAATATTAGCCTCATTTTATGGATGGGGAAGCAGAGCCATAGACATTAAAGGTTAGATCTACAGAGGTATTTAAGTGCCTAACTGCCTCTTTAGGCATCTATGTCCATAATTTAGGTGCCTCTGACATTCTCAAAACTGCCACTCAGCTGTTGTCTAATCCTGTAGATGACTAAATTTCCACAGGTCAGCATTTGCAGAGTTAAGTGCTGATGCCACCACTAAATTAACAAGCTAATCCAAGCCCTCGCTCAAACCAAGCCATGAAACAGCATTCTCAAATTAGGCATTCCCCTGCAGATTGGCACATGTGTGTCTGTTTGCTCAGAATACTAACCTGGGATGTGAGGGACCTGACTTGAATCCAGCTCTCCCACATCTCAGGTGAGTGCCCTAACCACAAGACAATTGGGTATATAGGTGTGGGAATCTCTCCTGTTGAAACTGTTGCTCTTTGTATAAATAAATATTCAGAGAGCAATACTGACTATAACCAAATGGTTAGGGCATTCACATTGGATGTGGGAGATCTGGGTTCAAATACCTGTCCCAATGATTATTTAATACAAAGTGGAACCGTTCCAATAGGTTAGATTGGCACGTGTGTCTGTTTGCTTAGGGCACTCACGTGGGATGTTGGTTCAAGTCCCTGCACTGCCTGACTTGAAGCAGGAACTTGAACCCACAACCCAAATGAATGTCTTAACCTCCAGGTCATTGGGTATTCCAGAAGATGTCTTTTTTTTGGGTGGAGAGAACATGAAAGGCCTGGGTTTCAGCTGATGGGGCATTGGATACCTAAGTAGCTCACCTGGCTCAGGTACCTAACTCCAGGAGAAAGTTCATGGTTGAGGATACCAGGTGGAGGGAGGTGCCTACCTCTGGGCCTGTCAGTCAAGCACATAAGGCCTAGATCAATGGGAGTTAGGTGCCTAAATACCACTGAAGATCTGGGCCTAAGGCCCACCCTGACCTCTGCTTTTTACTCTGGGTTACAGTTTGCTGGCTTCTGACGATGCCTCCCTTAACTGCCTAACTCTCCTCAGCTTGGGTGCCTAACATGGGGCTGAGGGGTTAGGCAGCAGGGCACGTAGGGGTTAGGTATTGCAACATTGAGCGTTACAACACGTAATATCTTTGTGGATCCCACCTTAAGTGACTTAGGCCACAAAAATAAGTCTGGAAGAACTAGGATTAGGATGCATATCTCCCAACCTCATGCTTTAACCTTAAAATTCATTTCTCTCAATGATTTAATCCATGATTTGAGTGTTTGCATTTCTTCATATTTCTCATGTATCATAACTTTCAACTACTCCACTGACTACTGCCTTTTATTAGTCTCATTTTTCACAAAAACACACTGCTTTCCACAGTATTTACATCAGCTATGTGGCTGACAGACTAACCATCTTTTTCACTTTGAACTACTAGGCTATAGAGGTCTTTATCTTTAGATTTTTTTAACTCAGAAAGGGGTGTGTGTTTTAACTGGCAACCTAATACAAGTGCACATCTCAATAAGAAAAAAGGAAAGCTTTATGAAGTCTGAACCCTGACTTTTCTATCCAGAAGTAAGAGTTTTAGGGATCGGAGGAACCTGTTCAGAAGCAATCTTGATTACTCAAATATTAATTTTATTAAGGCTGTTCATCTCACATCCACTGATTTCTGGATGCCTGCACAGATCAAGTAGTCTATATCAGCTTTTCCTGTGGTCTTTTAAGAATATATTAACACAGTATGTCTGCAAACATACTTGCTCTGAAAGCACATTGTTTGATAGAACCTCTCTTTGAAAGCATCTAAAGTATAAACAGGGCGGGGGGAGGGGGGAGGAGAGAAGGGCACTTCAGAACATTTAAATTGACACAAAGCCAAAATGTTGGACAAAGCTGAAAGTTCTGTCTTTTTAAAAACACAAACTCTACTGAACTGCTGCATATGGCTCTTTACCTTAAATGAATTAAGATGTATTCAAGTTTAACATTTTAAAAACATTCCTAACTTGTTCTTCATTCTGAGTAATGAACACTCTTAAAACAAAACAAAAAACAAAAAAACAACACAGGAAATGCTTGAATAATGTTAGAAAGGACAATAAAATGAATTCCATATGTAAACAGAAAAGGAGTTCATAGAATCAGAGAAAGTAATATGCACAAATGGGGAAGACCCAAGTGTAGAAGAGTCACTAATTTCAGCCTGATGCATACTACCTGTAGTCTGAGTAGGGCACTTAGTTAACACCTCTGGTGCTCTGAATCCTGGTGTACCCGCCCTAGGAGCAACTTGCTGACGTCTTGTAATAAAAAAGAAAAGCGCATTTAAAGTGTAATAGGAAACAATTCATAATGTTTCTAGTTACAGCAGAAGACTTAAAACCATTTCTAACATATGCTTCCATGAGACACGTCAACATTTTGTGGTTTGTTCACGTAGTAACATTTTAAACAGGCAATATTAAATGTGTTGAATACACACAATATTTAGGGTGAGAGAACAGTACACAAATAAGTTGTATGCTTCAATCAGGATAATGTTTTCAGTTCCATTCAGCTGCAGCATGATTTCTATTAAGGGCTGGCTTACATGGGGACACTCAGAAAAGTTAAGATGAATTAACTTCACACTTTTAGTTAAAGCACATGGCTTAAGGCCACTTTACTTTTGAATGAGAGCATCCGCACAGGGGTACGAAGTTAAAGCACATATAAACATTTAGTTAATTCATCTTAAACTTTCTGAGTGTCCTCCATGTAGCCCTACCTGGCTTGCAGGGGTCAGGTTTGTTTTCTGAATTAGTAACTTCAACCCCCTCATACTCCATACTCAGTAAAAATGGCATGTTTGACTAACAAGATTAAATGTCAAAATACAGTCACATCAGACCAGGAAGTAAGGGAACACATAGTATTTTGGAAACCACACCCAGTAAACAGAACTTTCTCATTAATGCAAAGAATTGTTGGAATAACCCACATCCCTGATGGAGGAATGGCTCATATGAATGGAAGTTAACTCCACATATGGGATGGATTTGAACTGAAATGCCAAATTGTTTGGCCAGTCTGACTATTAAGGCGTGTACATGATAAATGTCCTTACAATTTACTTACACATGTCTAGAGAAAAAATGGTAAAAAACCTAACTTCCCTCCCTGTCTTAGGCTACAAGACAAATTTAGTTTTCCTTTTAGCGATGAACAACCAAATGTGCAGAAAACAGTATGTTAAAGGGCAACCAACATGCCTTATAAATACTAGAACTTGTTGAAATTTCAAATGAAAAAAGTGACAATTTCAGATGTGGTATTGCTATTTTTGAAACAGTTCACACAGTGTAAGTTTCCAGATACAAATTAAATTTGTTTAACAAAAATGTTTCCTCTTATTTACTTGCCAAGACCTGAGTTCATAGTTCTATATTTCCCTTGCACAGCACTTAAAGACTACTCAGTGTTCTTGTAGGTGCCTAGAAATATCTACAATAAATGGAAGACATGACTGACTCTTGCAAGAGAAATATGGAACCCTGAATTCAAGTCTTGACTGCTTAGCTAAGTAGTGCCTACATTTTTCAAATGTTTGGTTTTAAGATATAAAGTTTTCATAAATGAATAAAGAAGTTAAACAATTCTACATTTTCAGGTTTTGGGGGTTTTTTGAACAGCATTTCAGTTCATTTTTAAATAAATGTCCCTGGAAGAGTCAAACGATGTGGTTTGGCCTACACTTAAGTTTTGCTGGCATAGCTATGTCTGTTAGGGATGTGAAAAGTCACAGGGTATGTCTACACTACGAAATTAGGTAGAATTAATAGAAGCCGGTTTTATAGAAATCGGTTGTATACAGCCGATTGTGTGTGTCCCCACATAAAATGCTCTAAGTGCATTAGTTCGGCGGACCGCGTCCACAGTACCGAGGCTAGCGTCGGCTTCCGGCGCATTGCACTATGGGTAGCTATCCCACAGTTCCCGCAGTCTCCGCCGCCCATTGGAATTCTGGGTTGAGATCCCAATGCCCGGATGATGCAAAACAGTGCCACGTGGGGTTCTGGGTACATGTCGTCAGGCCCCTCCCCCTCCGTCACAGCAACGGCAGACAATAGATTCGCGCCTTTTTACCTGGGTTACCTGTGCAGACAACATACCACGGCAAGCATGGAGCCCGCTCAGCTCAGCTCACCGTCACCATATGTCATCTAGGTGCCGGCAGACGTGGGACTGCATTGCTACACAGCAGCAGCAGCTAACTGCCTTTTGGCGGTAGACGGTGCAGCATGACTGGTAGCCTTCATTGGTGATCTGGGTGCCGGCAGCCGTGGGGCTGGCAGCCGTGGGGCTGCATTGCACCAGCCCTTGCCTTTTGCCTTTTGGCAGTAGATGGTTTATTACGACTGGTAACCGTCCTCATCGTACAGCAGTGGCTGTCAATCATGGGCACCTGGGCAGACATGCTCAGTCCAGCAATGATGATGATGGCTATCAGTCGTAGTATGCCATTTTCTGCCAAGCGCCCTGTTGGATCATCGCACATTAGCAGAGTCTTCCCTGAGCAGCAGATCGTGCAATAGGCCTGAAGGCTACTGCCAAGCGCCCAGTATTTGCCGCCAAGCACCCAGAAGATGCCGAGGGCTATCAGTCATGCTGCACCGTCGTCTTAAGATGTAAAAAATAGATTTGTTCTGTATTCATTTGCTTCCCCCCTCCCTCCGTCAAATCAACGGCCTGCTAAACCCAGGCTTTTGAGTTCAATCTTTGGGGGGGGCCATTCTGTGTGACAGTTGTTTGTGTTTCTCCCTGATGCACAGCCACCTTTCTTGATTTTAATTCCCTATACCTGTACGCTATGTCGTCACTCGCCCCTCCCTCCCTCCTTCCCCTGGTCCGTCAGATACTCCTTTCGCGCCTTTTTTCATACCAGACGCCATAGCTAGCACTGGGATCATGGAGCCCGCTCAGATCACCGCGGCAATTATGAGCACTATGAACACCACGCGCATTGTCCTGGAGTATATGCAGAGCCAGGACATGCCAAAGCAAAACCAGGACCAGGCGAGGAGGAGGAGGAGGCGATTGCAGCGCGGCGACGAGAGTGATGAGGAAATGGACATGGACCTAGACCTCTCACAAGGCACAGGCCCCAGCAATGTGGAAATCATGGTGTTAATGGGGCAGGTTATAGCCATGGAACGCCGATTCTGGGCCCGGGAAACAAGCACAGACTGGTGGGACCGCATCGTGCTGCAGGTGTGGGACGATTCCCAGTGGCTGCGAAACTTTCGCATGCGTAAGGGCACTTTCATGGAACTTTGTGACTTGCTTTCCCCTGCCCTGAAGCGCCAGAATACCAGGATGAGAGCAGCCCTCACAGTGGAGAAGCGAGTGGCGATAGCCCTGTGGAAGCTTGCAACGCCAGACAGCTACCGGTCAGTCGGGAATCAATTTGGAGTGGGCAAATCTACTGTGGGGGCTGCTGTGATCCAAGTTGCCAGGGCAGTGAGAGACCTGGTGATATCAAGGGTAGTGACTCTGGGAAACGTGCAAGCCACAGTGGATGGCTTTGCTGCAATGGGATTCCCAAACTGTGGTGGGGCGATAGACGGAACCCATATCCCTATCTTGGCACCGGAGCACCAAGCCACCGAGTACATCAACCGCAAGGGGTACTTTTCAATGCTGCTGCAAGCCCTGGTGGATCACAAGGGACGTTTCACCGACATCAACGTGGGCTGGCCGGGAAGGGTACATGATGCGCGCGTCTTCAGGCAGTCTGCTCTGTTTAGAAAGCTGGAGGAAGGGACTTTCTTCCCGGACCAGAAAATAACCGTTGGGGATGCTGAAATGCCTATCGTGATCCTTGGGGACCCAGCCTACCCCTTAATGCCATGGCTCATGAAGCCGTACACAGGCAGCCTGGACAGTAGTCAGGACCTGTTCAACTACAGGCTGAGCAAGTGCCGAATGGTGGTGGAATGTGCATTTGGGCGTTTAAAAGCGCGCTGGCGCAGCTTACTGACTCGCTCAGACCTTAGCGAAAAGAATATCCCCATTGTTATTGCTGCTTGCTGTGCGCTCCACAATATCTGTGAGAGTAAGGGGGAGACATTTATGGCGGGGTGGGAGGTAGAGGCAAATCGCCTGACCGCTGATTACGCGCAGCCAGACACCAGGGCGGTTAGAGCAGCACAGCATGGTGCTGTGCGCATCAGAGAAGCTTTGAAAACCAGTTTTGTGACTGGCCAGGCTACGGAGTGAAACTTCTGTTTGTTTCTCCTTGATGAACCCTCTGCCCCTCCCCCCCCCACCCGGTTAACTCTACTTCCCTGTAAACCAACCACCCTACCCTCCCCCCTTCAAGCACCAGTTGCAGGGGCAATAAAGTCATTGTTACTTCACATTCATGCATTCTTTATTAATTCATCACACAACTAGGGGGATAATTGGAAAGGTAGCCCGGGATGGGTGGGGGAGGAGGGAAGGAAAAGGACACACTCCAATTTAAAACTTTAAAACTTATTACTATGGAAATCATCTAGGGTGGAGTGAGTGGGTGGCCGAAGGCCCCCCCACCGTGTTCTTGGGCGTCTGGGTGAGGAGGCAATGGGACTTGGGGAGGATGGTTGTTGGTTACACAGGGGCTGTAGCGGCGGTCTGTGCTCCTGCTGCCTTTCCTGCAGCTCAACCATACGCTGTAGCATATCAGTTTGATGCTCCAGCAGACGGAGCATGGACTCTTGCTTTCTGTGTGCAAGCTGACGCCACTCTCATCTTCAGCCCGCAACTTCCTCTGTTCCTCCCGCGATTCAGCCCGCCACCTCTCCTCCTCAGCCCGCGATTCAGCCCGCCACCTCTCCTCTCGCTCATATTGGGCTTTTCGATAATCAGTCATTGACTGCCTCCACGCATTCTGCTGTGCTCTGTCAGCGTGGGAGGCAGTCTGTAGTTCTGTAAACATTTCGTCACGTGTCCTTCGCTTACGTTTTCGAATATTCACTAGCCTCTGCGAAGGAGAGACATTTGCAGCTGGTGGATGAGAAGGGAGAGGTGGTTAAAAAAAGATACATTTTAGAGAACAATGGGTACACTCTTTCACGTTACATTTTGCTGTTCACATTACACAGCAGATGTGCTTTCGTTACAAGGTTGCATTTTTCCTCTTATATGGAGGGCCTGCCTGTTTGGTGTGAGAGATCACTCACGCAGTGCCAGGTCACAGATTTCAGCTTGCAGGCAGCCATGGTAAGACACAGTCTTTTGGCTTTTTTAACTTTCTTAACATGTGGGGATGGTTTCAAAGAGTACTGCTATCATTAACCATACCAAGGACCCGTTGGGTTGGCCATTTAAAATGGGTTTGCGATGTAAAAGGAGGGGCTGCGGTTTCAGGGTTAACATGCAGCACAAACCCAACTAATTCCCCTCCCCCCCACACCCAATTCTCTGGGATGATCACTTCACCCCTCCCCCCACCGCGTGGCTAACAGCGGGGAATATTTCTGTTCAGCAGACCAGGAAGGGGCACCTCTGAATGTCCCCTTAATAAAACTGCCCCATTTCAACCAGGTGACCGTGAATGATATCACTCTCCTGAGGATAACAAAGAGCGATAAGGAATGGATGTTGTCTGCATGCCAGCAAACACCGGGACCATACGCTGCCATGCTTTGTTATGCAATGATGCCAGACTACGTGCTACTGGCCTGGCGTGGTAAAGTGTCCTACCATGGCGGACGGGATAAGGCAGCCCTCCCCAGAAACCTTTTGCAAAGGCTTTGGGAGTACATGAAGGAGAGCTTTCTGGAGATGTCCCTGGAGGATTTCCGCTCCATCCCCATACACGTTAACAGACTTTTCCAGTTGCTGTACTGGCCGCGATTGCCAGGGCAAATTAATCATTAATCATTAAACACGCTTGCTTTTAAACCATGTGTAATATTTACAAAGGTACACTCACCAGAGGTCCCCTGTGTGCCCTCAGGGTCTTGGGTGAGTTCGGGGGTTACTGGTTCGAGGTCCAGGGTGATAAACATATCCTGGCTGTTGGGGAAACTGGTTTCTCCGCTTCCTTTCTGCTGTGAGCTATTTACATTTTCTTCATGCTCATCTTCCTCGTCCCCAGAACCCGCTTCCCTGTGTCTTTCTCCAGTGAGGGACTCATAGCACCCGGTTGGGGTAGTGGTGGCTGCACCCCCTAGAATGGCATGCAGCTCCGCGTAGAAGCGGCATGTTTGCGGCTCAGCCCCGGACCTTCCGTTTGCCTCTCTGGCTTTGTGGTAGGCTTGCCTTAGCTCCTTAATTTTCACGCGGCACTGCTGTGTGTCCCTGTTATGGCCTCTGTCCTTCATGGCCTTGGAGACCTTTTCTAATATTTTGCCATTTCGTTTACTGCTTCGGAGTTCGGCCAGCACTGATTCATCTCCCCATATGGCGAGCAGATCCCGAACTTCCCGTTCTGTCCATGCTGGAGCTCTTTTGCAATCCTGGGACTCCATCACGGTTACCTGTGCTGATGAGCTCTGCGTGGTCACCTGTGCTCTCCACGCTGAGCAAACAGGAAATGAAATTCAAATGTTCGCGGGGCTTTTCCTGTCTACCTGGCCAGTGCATCTGAGTTGAGAGTGCTGTCCAGAGTGGTCACAATGAAGCACTGTGGGATAGCTCCCGGAGGCCAATAACGTCGAATTCCGTCCACACTAACCCAATTCCGACCCCCTAAGGCCGATTTTATCACTAATCCTCTCGTCGGAGGTGGTGTAAAGAAACTGGTTTAAAGGGCCCTTTAAGTCGAAAGAAAGGGCTTCGTCGTGTGAACATGTCCAGGCTTAATTCGATTTAACGCGGCTAAAGTCGACCTAAACTCGTAGTGTAGACCAGGCCACAGAGCTAACAGACATAGCTATTCCAGCAAAGTCTTAGTGCAGATGCAGTTATTGCAAGAAAAAATCCTCTTCCTGGTTTAGCTTATTCTGTTTGGGGAACTGGTTTAAGTTATACTGCCAAAATAACTCTTTTGCTGGTATAATCATAGAATTATAAAGCTGTAGAGGTGGAAGGGCCCTCAAGAAGTCATCAAGTACTGAGGCAGGACCAAGTAAACTCAGACTATCCCTGACAGGTGTTTGTCCAACCTGTTCTTAAAAACCTCAAATTATGGGGATTACACCACCTCCCTTGGAAGCCTATTCCAGAGCTTTACTACCCTTAAGAGTTAGAAAGGGTTTTCTAATATCTAACTTAAATCTCCTTTGCTTCAGATTAAGCCCATTACTTCCTTCTTGTCCTGCACTGATGGACATGAAGAACAACTTGTCACAGGCCTTACAGACATTACCATATTTGAGGACTTATCAGATCCTCAACTCAGTTTTTTCCTCAAGACCTTTTAACTTTTCCTCATAGGTCAGATTTTCTAAAATCTTATTTTTGTTCCTCTCCTCTGGACTCCCTCCAGTTCATCCACATCTTTCTTAAAATGTGGCAGCCAGAAGTGGACACAGTTCTCCAGCTGAGGTATAAAGTAGAGTGGACAATTACCTCCCATGTCTCACAAACAACACTTTTCTTAATACATCCCAGAATGATATTAGCCTTTTTCACAACAGTATCACATTGTTGGCTCATATTCAATTTTTGATCTACTATAACCCCCAGATTCTTTTCAGCAGCAGTACTACCTAGCCAATTATTCCCTATTTTGTAGTTGTGCATTTAATTTTTCCATCCTAAGTGAAGTACTTTGCACTTGCCTCTATTGAACGTCATCTTGTTAATTTCAGACTAATTCTCCAATTTATCAAGGTTGTTTTGCATCTAATCCTGTCCTCCCAAGTGCTTGCAATACCTCCAAGCTTGGTATCATCCACAAATTTTATAAGTGGACTCTCCACTCCATTATCCAAGTCATCAATGAAAATATTGACTAGTACCAGACCCAGGACTGATCCCACTAGATACACCCTCCCAGTAGGATGCCAAGCCATCAATAACTATTCTGATAACTGCAAAACTGGTTATTTCATCTAGACCACATTTCCCTAGCTTGCTTGTGAGAATGTCATGTGGGATCAAAAGCCTTACTAAAAATCAAGGTATCACATTTACTGTTCTCTCCCCCCCGATCCACTAGGCCAGTAACCCACTCAAAGAAGGAAATTAGGTTGGTTTGACATGATTTGTTCTTGACAAATCCATCTTGGCTATTCCTTATAACTCTGTTATTCTCTAGGTGCTTATAAATTGATTGAATCATTTGTTCCAGTATCTTTCCAGGTATCCAAGTTAGGCTGACTGGTCTATAATTCCCTGGGTCCTCTTTGTTAACCCTTATTAACAAAGACTGAAACAAAATAGGCATTGAACACTTCAGCCTTCTTGATGTCATCCGTTATTAGCATCCTTCCCTGCAATAGTGGACCTACACTTTCCTTACAAACTGTTTCTCCATTGGGAAGGGTAACTGCTGTAGGAGGTGGTGTGTGTGTGTGTGTGTGTGTGTGTGCGCACACACCCACACACACACATATATATATAGGAAAACCCATCTAGGTGTAAATAAGGCCTGTCACAAACCCATTTCAGGATTTTAATGCAGAGAATTGTTAAGGTATTTTATCTTAATAAAATTAAAGTCCCCCACACCTTAAAGAAACAGTCTTTATACACTAACATCCAATGGAGAAAACTCTTTCAATGTCAAACTGTTTTAACTACAAATAATTGCATTTATCTGCAATGAGAAAGTTAGCACTGGAAGTGAGTACCATATGAAATCCATGACCTTTGTCAGGTTAGAATACACATTGTGTTCTAATACTTGTAACTTGCATAGGTCTAATGCTATCTTTCACTTACTAAATCAACTGTCCAGTAAATCTAACTTTCTAACCTTGCTTGACAGCACAGAAGTTGATGTTACAAAATCATCAAAAGCAAATTACCTTGAAAGGCAAACACTGCAAACTCTATCTGTTGCATAACAGTCACAGGTCAAGATAGCTGGGCAACTGTTGGCAGCTTTCCTGGCTACACCATTGTTCACTGCTTTTGTAGAAATAATCTTCTTCTTTGTTGCTAATTTTCTAGATGCAACATCCATCACCTTTGATTGCTTTATGACCTGTAATATAGATGTTACATGTTCTAAATATTTCAAACATTTAAACGCTATTTCCATTTTGCTTCATTATTCCGCTTCCTCTTCCATTAGAGTGTTGAAAGCACTAACAAAAACATGTTACCAATTTTAAAAGAGGAGACCACCAGTACTATTTACTGATAACTCAAAGGCTAATAAAAGTAGCAAGGGATTGAAGAATCGTAAAGTTAGTGGTGATTTTCCTGGGAAATTAGACAGTTTTCAGTGACTACTACTAATTAATATCCACAATATATTCATAAGTACTTTGAAATTACAGTAATATTGTGTTTGACAGTATAATGCAATTAAGTTATTGGCTAGGGTTTTGTCTTTTTTTTTAATTAAAAAAAGAGACTATGCAAAAATGGGAATGGAAACACACTATAAGAAGTGAGTTAGATGTTTTTATTTGGTTACATTATTTCAAAGCCAAAACTGCCCAGTTAAAATATCACTGTTGGCCAAACCCTCTGCCTTTGTTCATAGTTAGGGTTTTTCTTTCTAATGTCTAGTTTTTCACTAGACATCATGCCCTGATTATAAACAGTATAGTAAAGTGTTTATTACAAACGTAGTCTGTTTTCTCTGTAGCCTTATCAACTGCAGAACACAAAAGCAAGTTTTTGGAATAATTTCTAAACTACATAGATACACAGATAGAAAAAGATTAATTACTATATAAACAAAATCAGATGGGGCAACAGCTAGACCATAAGAGTAACTACTGTCACTCAATAGCTTGAAAAAAATCACTTAAGTCTTTAGTAAATGTAAGACTTTGCTAAAATGCCAATTCTGTTCAATAATTTTTAGTGCCACAACAAATCACAAATAGTAGTTAGGGATATCTAGTACTGAAACACAGTTAAGTTCCACAACTATTTAAATGTATAATTGATTGTGTTCCTGGTGAGCAGTATTGCTTACTTTTATTGTGGGGCTCTCCTGGTATGTGGAGCTATGAATATTAAAATTTCTCTCTCCAAAGACAGAGCGCTGGACAGAATGGTGCGCAGACCCCTCCTACAACAACAAAAAAGGACAATAAGCATTCTATCTGTAACACTGTCAGCTGTAATCTGACAGTATTTAAAAGTGTGATGTGACATAAGGCAAAAACAGCTGCATGCAAGTCATTTTCAGGCACCAGCTTACTGTGGATGAAGACAACATAGTCTAGACAAAACCATAAACATGCTTACAAAACACATCACGCTCCAGAAATATGCCAAGACACCCTGAAATTTACACGTACAGCAGTTGTACTTTCATGTGCAACTAAAATGGAGATGAGAAACTTTCTGTGGGGAGGGAAGCCATGGTATGTATTGCTAAAAGGTTAACTCCTTTTTCCATAAGGAAATTCAGGAGCTCACCAAACATTACTGCATTTTACACAGCATGCAACATTACATAAGAATCCACTATTTTTATTTTTAGATATAGTAGACATTGAATGTGAAGTATTGTTCAAGGCCAATGTAGTTATTCAGAAACTAGTTCCATTTTCACAAACAGTTTAACTCTTACAAAATGTTTCCAACATGTTGCATAAGTGCACACACAGTAAGTTTTAGAATTGGAGACTGACAAATTGTTTTGTATTACATCTCCCCCTGTTGGATGAAGTAATACATTAAATAAACTCATGCAGCACTATTAGTGAAAAAGACTCAGAACCTTTCCTTCTTTTCCTTGTTTAATCTGCATTTGTGAAAGCGAGCAGCACCATTTATCAGATGTTTTTGAGGCTGACTGTTGAGCTATCTGTCTAGATGCTGTAACATTGACAGAAACCCTGTTTCCCAAGGTTAGGTGAGGCTTATTTTGTGAGCAACTTTCCTGTTGGCTTTCAGACTGGACAACTCTGAGTAGTTCTATTTTCGTATCAGGGGTTCCTTGTGCCAAACCAAAATCTACTAGGGCATACCTAAAAGACACAAATTTAAAAAGACAATTTAAGAAAAGTATACTATACTTTTTAAAAAACAGTTCCTTATAACAGAAGCTAAGGTATACATTGGCATTTAATCCACTTAAGAGGCAGGGTTTGAAAATTTAGCTGACCCTCTTACCTAGATGATTTAAACATATTAGCCAGGTGAAATATAATTGTTCCACCATATCCACTGCAATTTAAAGAACAGTTATAAGTTGTAACCGTAATAATCAATTTTCTATCTAATAAATGTTTTAAAAGTGTATCTCATTCTTAGGGCTGGTCAAATAAACAAATTATCCAATACAGTTTGACAAACAGTGAACAGTGAATAATAATCACTGAATACTAATCAATAAGCCCTGCTTACTACTATTTTGTTATACTTACTTTCTCTTCTTCCATTTTCTGTTCTTTTCTTATCATGTGTTGTTTCCCTGACTTGTTTTCAGTGTCAAAATCCCCCCCCCCCTTATCTTATCTTTACCTTCTCCCTATATTTTGTCATTTTTCCCTCCGTAATTTCATACACACACACACTGGGCTTGAAAATTTTACTAGGAATTTAATAGCCAGAGGACTAAACCTAATAGCCCCAGACTTATGAAAGATAGTGGACATTACTGGTAAGGGGCAATGTCCAAGCAAGAAGTCAATCCCCACCTTGTACCCCTACCAAGCTACTAGAAAATGGGATGGTGCTGGAATTTCTACCAGGGTGCTGCTTGGGTACTCAATTTTCCATACCAGCCTCTAGCTAGTACATATGATACATTTAAAACCATCATCTATCCCATACTGGATACTGGAAAGGAGACTAAACAGTCTCTCTATTCCCCACATCTCATTGGCTACTATGACACTGGGTGGGTCTCTGCTACATTAACCTTTCCCCAGCCTTCAGGAAGATCTGAGTGGAGTGTCTTTGCTACTTTATCCTTCCTTCAGCTTTCTGGCTGCTACCAAAGAGGGGTTTACAACCCCTCCCATCAGTCTCACCTTTAGGTTTCATTTCCCTAGTCAATAACTCCAGTGCCTGCCTCCACTATTGTTCACAACTACCTGAGACAACAGCTGAGTGAATCTGACTTGATTCTTATCAATTTCACTGCTGTCTAAAGGGATCCCAATAGTAACAGTGAAAACAGACAAGACCTATTAGTTTTCACAATGTTGCAGTCTGGCAAAACTTTCAGCAGCACCATTGGAGCTGGCTGCAGACTTCAGAAGATATGACTGCATTAGTTTACACTTGATTCACAGTTGAAAGTTTTTCTTTGGAATGATGAGTCTGATGGGGTGGACTATGCCCAGAGACTATGCTGGAGGCCTCAGGGTCCTGCCACACTTATCCCAGGAAAGGAGCAGTGGAGAGGTCCTCCAAGCAGGCTAGAGTGGCTGCGGGGGAGGGGAGGGAGAGAAGCAGTCAATGAAGGCCCAGGAGGGCCCTATAAAAAGGACCTACAGAGCCAGAGACAGGGCAGTTGTTGCTTGGAACTGGAGAAGAAAGGACTGCATGCCTGGCTGACTGAGGGAACTGCAGCACAACGGTCAGCTAAGTAGGGGCAGGGACTGGGGGAGCGAGAGGCTCCTGGCTGGCTGCTAGGACTGAGCCAAAGACAGTCTGCTAGCAGGGACTGGGGGAGCAATGAAGGCGCTCTTGGCTGGCTGCAGGGACTGAGCCTGGGGCAGCTGCAGGAAGACAGTGTCTCCAGGGAGGAGGCCTTGGGGATATGGGGTGGACTGGTTTAAAGACTGTGGACACCCCCAACCAGAGGGGGCGCTCATGAGACGTGGGTGCTGACCCCATTACATTGAGAACTACAACTTTTTTAAATTGAAGACTTTGGTTCCACAAAAGCTGGTGGCACATACATACATAAATGCTTACTACTTGCCATGGGAAAGTCATTCGAGTCACTATTTTGTTTCATGCATGCAACAGTTGACTCAACATCAGATCTCATAAAACATTCTTCAGAAACAATAGAATGCTTTTCTAAAATGATTCTAGCAGAGTAAACAAGCAATATATGAGAGATTCATCTTCTGAGAGTTAAGAAAATTACTTCCACAGAATTTCGAGATGTGTAGATTGATGCAAGACAGTTTTCCCTATAAAGTTTTACCTTACTCTTGTATGGACTGTACTGAAATATTTACCAAGCCATGAGGATATAGCTAGTCACGAACAACAGGAAGGCAACTATTAACTCCTTGCAAAAGGTGGACAATATCACACTAGCTACCTTAATTTAGTTACTTGCAGACAAAAGATAATTAATACAACCTGACCTAGTTTTAGGAATAGCTAATTGTAGAAATCAAACCCCAAAACAAACATCAACTTTCTTGCTATGCACACTTGAGGTGTGCTGCAAGACACAAACAGGTTGAAAACCTATGCAGTATACAAATAAAGGTCAGTATTAACTATATTAAAGTAAATAATGGACAGTGATTTTATTTAATTTAATCTTATTGAACATGCAACAATCTTACTAGTTTTACTCATTGAGTTTAAAAATTATTAATTTTTTAAAAAGTATTTGCCGTTCTGTGATCCAAACTTTTTTCATGCTTACTATATTGTTTCTTCTTTCCCACCCTGACCAAGTCCCTAAACTCTAAATAAAAATTTTATTTATTTATAAACATATTTCTACTGCTTAAGCCCATATTGTATAGCTGGAAGGGAAAAACCCAAAAACTTAATTTACTGTGTTCTGCCAAGGCACACATTCCCAAATGAGATCATGATAAAAGTCAGGTGTGTAGACTTACTCTTTCAGCCGCCTGCTGTACAGGAAGTTACTGGGCTTGACATCACGGTGAACAATACCAAAGTGATGAATGCGCCTCAATGCTTTAAACAGATTAAACATGTATTCTCGTACTTCTTCAAAAGAGAGAGAGTTCAAAACATCCTGAAAGATTATTTGAATATTGTAATTTTGCAACTCTTTATAATTAAGTATTTTACTGCTTATATAAAAAGGCTGGGACTCACCAAAAAGGATTCATGTTCCAGATATGGCATAACGATAACTACATGATCATTTTTTCTAAAGCAATATTTAACTCCCATAACGTTATCCTGCCCCCTAAAGGAAAAATAAAATACTATCTTGAAACAAATAGAAAATAGGTTATTTCACCTGGCTCCCACAGAAAACTTCAGCAATGCTTTTTCTATTAATACACAAATTCCACATTGTATGGCTGTTCATCAGTGTTAGGTTGCTGGCAAACTACCAGCATGTACTCTGAACACAATCCCCTCATTACTTTTCTCAAAGTGTTTCATTCTTCAATTTGCAACGAAGGGCCCTGCAGACCATTGGTGCTTCATGGCCCACTTTTAGGGCTTGAGTCTGTTCTCATGGATTTGCATGATCCAGGATTGAGCCCTTTGAGAGCAACTGGTTTAAAATGTCAGGTAAGAGCTATTCCAACCATCTGTCTTGGAACCAGCAAATATCCGCAATGCACCTCCATTCCTAAACCAGTGAAGAGAATTCAGTGCCATTGGCCAGTATTTTCAGATGTACTAGAGAGGATTCTATCATAGCCATTTCCTACCTAAAACATGTTTGATTGCATATGTATACTGTGTAACTCTTAGAACTTTTTACTAGCGTATACAAAGTCAGTTGCAAATTGAGACTAGCATAAAGCAACATGAGCATTATAGTTAACATGATCCATTTATGGTACGCCCTTGATATACAGTTATTGATTTTTATTTTCTTGTGGTCAAAACTCCAGCAAAATGCAAGAAGTACCAAAACTAAAAAGTAACTAGACACACAACTTAGTTTTAGATGACACTTAAATTCAGTTATCACATCTTTAATTCCTTTTGCTGGAAAAAAAAAAAAAAAAAAAGGATCTACCTACCCTGCTATTGTAAGGCACTGAAGTTCAGCAGCAATTCGTAGAGGATGACTAGTTGGAATTAGGTGTTTCAAAGCCATTTTTTCCTCACATCCTGCTTGTAGCTGGGCTGTGGCCAAATAAACTGAACTAAAAGTACCTGTAAAAGTATGAAGCCTATGTTTAACAGCTTTGGATTAGCTACGTTAAAGTATTTCCTGTTACTGGTCTGACTGCTGCACTTGTGGTGAAAGAGAATCTATTTGAGTCAAGTTAAGTTTGTGACACAACCTTTTAAAGTCAAGGCTAAAGCATGAGGAAAGTGGTTTTAGTACAGAAAACCACTTAAGTACTTCAGGGTTATCAAACAAATTAAGAAAATTAACCATGAGTGTCCAGAAATTGGGAAGTACAAAATAAGTAAAATTTCTTAATAGACCATAAAATATAATTTAAAGTTATTACAATTGCAAATGTTAAACCAGTATGCAAGCATAACAAGTCTGTAGTTGCATATACAGATCACAGTTGCCAGCAGGAATCAACTCTAGTACTATCAGCAACAAAAACGCAGGCCCCTCCACTTGAGCTAAAGGAATAACATCAATAACTATTAAGTAGCAAGACCTTTGCCTTTTTGGGGAGAGAAACTGAAGGGAGGATATGACCCCACACCCTAAGTTAGTGCAAGTGGAAACACATCTTTACATATAAGCCTTCAGTATTGCCAGTGTCACAAATGTCACTTTTTAGCAACATATTCACTTCCATCAACAGCGTTAGAAACACCAGTTGTAAATGAAAATAAAATGTCATTAAACAAGGTTGTTTATTCATGACAAGAAGCATTCCATGCTCTTGAACTTTCAGATTGCTGTACTGAACTAAATATGTAGCTCTCTTTTAAAGCAGCTTTACAGACTAGTAAGTTTTTAAATATTTAGCAAGCTATCACAAGTATTACAATCATAAATAGCTGTTTAAAAAAAAAAAACCAAACATCTACTTTATATACTTTCAAATATAAGAACAGTCAAAACATTAAGTTTAGTGAAAAACTTTCACCAAAGATCTTGCAGGTAAAATTTTCAAAAATGTGTAGGCTCCCATCCTGCAAATATTTACACATATGCTTAATTTTATTGTCCTGAGCAATCCCATTGATTTCAATGGGATTACTCATAGTAAAGTTAAGCATGTGCATGGTCACAGAATTGAGGCCTATGTCCCATTGTCAAATTTTGAAAATTTTACTGTGTGCCTAGTTTGAGCCCATACTTTAAAAATAACTTAGCAATAATCGTCTGTTTTCCTCTCTTAGCCCCACCCATCGGGTTTAATATTGGAAAAGCAGAGAACTTTACTGGTAGTGAAATGTTGGAGTATAATTGTATATTTAGAATGTATACCTTAGAGACAAATATAGGTGGATTAAATCTTACGTAGATACGCTTGGTTAAATGTACTCCAAGAGCTGCAGCATCCTATAGCAGTTTAAACTGCATGGTCTAAATCAAAACAAGCTGTTTAATCAGAGTCTACTTTGGTAAGAGGTTTCAAGAATCTGGCAGGAAAATCTCTTTGGAAAAACCCTTATCTACAAGCATTTGTACTTGCAACTAAATATTAGAACTCCCATTTACTTCTAACAATACTAAAAAGCAATCCATAAAATGGCAGTCATACTAGAATTTGCCAATATTGGACTTCATTATATAGTTTTATACTCTTAAAATTTGTATTTCTTAAGTACATCAAAATTCAAGCAAATAAATACACATTTACCTTCTCCAATTTTTTCCTTAATTTTGAACACATTTACAAGCTGTGGCACTGCTTCATAAAGTTTTTCAATATCTATTTTTACTCCTGTTGAGGAAATAAAGGAAAACAGAAAATGTTTTGCTTGGTCTCAGTTTACTAGTTAAATTTCAGGACATGTATTAGACTTTAATTCATATAAATGAGGGTGAAATTACATAAAAAGTAGTATAAAACAAACCGAGGCTCTGGTCCTGCAAAGACATATGCAGGTACATTTGAATAACACTCATGTGCATAAGTTAAACATGAACACACTTGCAGGTTTAGTGCCCAAGATCGCAAAAGAGTAGTAAAGACTATTCCAGTTAGCATAGTGCAAGGCACCTGAGGCACTCACATAAAAATATTGTACTGTAAATGATCAAAGAATGTACAGTTTGAGGTAATCTGCAAAGAGTTTAACTTTTTTTGGCTTGAGACTCATGATCCATGAATATCCACCTTTGCCTTATTTATTTATTTTTTGGTCCAGACCTCTATTGATTAAATGTGATGTTTCTGATCCACCTTCATGGAAAAACCCAATTGAGAGGGGCACTAAACTCTGCCCTTCCTGACATAACTGCAAACGGAATGCCAACAGTACTGCCCCATCTATCACGCTCTAATTTATATGCTGCTACAATGTTTTGTTTAAAACTCTTAAATTGTTGCCACTCAGCACAGCACGGCCAACCCTCAAAATTAATAGGATCTCAGATTATAGTTCAGAGACTAACATACACATGGAGTTAGTAATGTCACCATTTCATAAAAGACAAATCTACACTGGCTGCTGAGAAATGGGTATGTAGGAGGTAAACTTACAAGACTACAAAACAAAGAAAAGGGTTTAAAAAGGAAAGTATTAGGAAGACAAACTCGTATATCCTCATTAGAGGGCTGTTAAAAAAATATTCAAAAAAAAGCCTTGCTGATTATATTTAAATTGTTGCATTTTATACTCCAATCACTAGATGGCATAGCAAGGATACTGCATTCTTATTGGAAAACTAAGGAATTTCACTCAAAGGATGGGCCCTTGTTATTTTAGAAAAGTATTTATTAGAGGACTCATGAATGCCTTCTAAAAAAAGCACACTTCTTTTGAAATTTACAGAGAAATTCTAATTTGTTATGCTGTCTTATTAGATGTTCTAACTATTGTCATGAAACAATAAACCATTACACTACTGCTAAAATACTATAAAGCCTTAAAACACAGAGCATATGAAAATATACACAAGGCAAGTTACATTTAAAGTTGAAACATTTTACAATGGTTGGGCTCAACTAGTGTCACCCTTTATCAACTGCTGTAACACTAGTGTTTGACTCCTAAGTCCATATTTAGACACCTAGACAGATGGCCTGATATTTCAAAGTAGTGAGAACCAAAAAATCATTGGCCCATACTTTTATAGAGTCTGTGGCTAATTACTGCAGCAAGGGTAAAATGTTCCTACAATAGATGTTTTCAAGAATGGTTTGTATTGTTTTCACATAATAAAAATGATGATGTATTTGGTAGGAGCTAAACTCATACGAATTATATATACTAAAAAGGGAGAGGGAAAATCATGCCCAAATTAACACATACAATAGCAAAATGTTTAAACTAGGATTATATATTATACAAAAGAAGCACAGTAAGCACTGATGTAACAAATATCATGAACAATGAAAATCAATTTATAAACAGTCATAATACTAGAAAGATTACAATAGGCATGTACTCTGTATGTATATATGTATTCCCAAACTCTCACATTAGCCCAAATGAACAAATTTCAGTGCTGCAATATAAACAGAAGACTGAAATGTGACTCTTGAATCCTTTCCCTCCTTTCAAGAACCTGAAAACAGATGTCAGAAGTCCCCATTAGAGTTTTAAAATAAATTTTAGTTGAAAGTTAATTACAAAAAAAAAAAATACATTTTAAACTGCTGAAGGCTACTGCCCCCACACTGTGTATTTCATCTCCTCATTCTTCCTCATCTTCCCCCACGGCCAAGTCTCTTCCTTCTTTTAAAATATGCTCATTAATAGTTGTTACCCATCCAGCCTTTCCAAGCTTGTATCCACACTGCAAAATAAATTAATGTTAAAGTTTTTTTTTTTTTTTTAAAAACTCCTAACATTTAAGTGTCTGCCACTGGTTGGTACTGGGCCAGCAAAGGTACATCAGATCTTTTTTAGAAGAAAAAGACTATCATTTTCACCCTATAATATTGTTTTGAAGTGTTTCGGTGACTAATTGTAGAGTATACTCCTGGGGGAATTTTGTGTCACTGCGCATGCACAGAATTCATGTCCACTGCTGATTTCTTTGCTTCCCCGCAGAAAAATTACTTCTGATTGGAAAGCAAAGGGAAACTGCAAGAGCGGTCATGAGCCCCTCCCCAGCAGCACAGGCTGGTTGGCTCAGGTGCCCGGAGCAGTCAAGAGAGACATAAATCACCACTGGCAGGGGGGAGCTGGGCAGTCAGGCAAGTGAAAGACACACACTATCCCTCACTCACTATTGCAGCACGCTCGGTGTGGAGGGACAGAGTTTCAGGGTGTTTCTGAGGAGGTAGGCATGGGGCAGGTTCTGTCCCTTCAGGCAGAGCTGAATGTAGCAGCCTGCCTGCTTAGTAAATTGTTCCCATTGTCTTTGTGAATTCCCCCAGGAGTATAAAACAGGTGTAAAAGTTTTAAGGCTCCTTCACATTGCCAGAGGTGTGTAAAGGACAGTATGGCATTATAAATGCTTATGGTGCTTTCGTGATTAGAACTGATCTAAATTTTTGTACTGAAAAAAATTCCTATCAAAACGTGCTCCATGAACTGTTTGCTACTAACCTTTTTGGAGATGGTCAGTAGCCAATATAAATCGTGAGTTTGATTCCCCTGCCCTCACTTGCTCTTCAGTTGCCTATAATGTAACACTGAGCATATGGCTGCATATATTTGTTGACTAATAACTAGAAATAAAGGGTCAAACCTAACAACATTACTATGAGGCAAGGGGCTTTAGGAATTTCCTCCAATGCTCTCCACTCCCATTTTCCATCCATTGTATTTTAGTTTAAATAAATTACCAAAATAATTGAAACCAGAGTGATTATATTGCGTTATTTTGACAAATAAAGTGCGCAGAATTTTAAAATGTGCACAGAATTTTAAAAAATTTTGGTGCAGAATTCCCCCAGGAGTACTCAGAGTAGAGAGGGCCTAATTGCACAAGATGCTGAGTTAAGCAAAGCAGCTCAGCATCCTGGCCACTCCTGAATCCTATGAGGCATGGTAAACTGGGGACTTTGTAAGCTAGGTATGTTACTTTAGAACTGATGAGGAATAACCTCTGGTAAGATCTTACTGTTCATGTCAAAGTTTTCGCTTTGACTAACAAAAAGAAGAATTCAGAAATTTACACTCTGCTACATCAATGACATAAGTTAATGTTTCAAATATTAATAGCACATATCTGCACCTGTGGTAGAAACTGACAGTAACAAGCAAAAGCTTTTATTAAGCAGTTATACAGCATATTAAACATAATTACAACACATTTGTTTTCTCGCTAAGTGTTATTTCTTAATTTTGCTTTATTTGTACAGTAATAAAGTCATGGCAAATGTATTCATTTTTGTCATTTTCATAAAATGAAAGCTTAATTGTGTTCTAAGAATCTTGGGAAGTCCTTAGAAGTTTGATTTTTAAAAAGTTCTGACACCACACAAATATTTTCAGACGCTTAATAGAAAGCAAACACATTGAGAAAACATCCACATGTATGTGGGGTTTTCTAGCTTTTAGTGAAAATGCACATCCACCATTCGCCCAATTACTGTTTTTGACTACAAATGATGCAAAGCCATAACCATTTACCCCAATACTTCCCCACACACACACCACCTCACTTTAACACAAAACAAATATTTAAGATGTTTGACATTTGATATTTTTTCTTAATCCTACAATCAGATCACTTTGGCCAACAATAACAAATGAACAATTCTCAACACCATATGAATGGAACAGTCTTCAAAATAATACTGTCCATGTTTGTATCGTTTCCCAGGTAAATACAATGAGAAATACAGAATAAGAGACTTTCATGTGATACTGTCCATTTTAAAGGATGTTTGCTATTCCCAAGTGGTCAAAAATCAGGGTGAATGATTTAAATCAGCAAGCACAGAACCTGGCTTTAAAATTATCTATTTTAATCATATTCTGCATTTGTACTTTTCAGATATTTTCCTAAAAAAAGTTGATTCTCATTAGTTGGTAACTATTAAAACATGTTTTTTTGCAACTAAATATACCTTATCTCCTAACTTTGGTGTTTCTTTTTGCTATCAGGAGTATAAACCACGTTTATTTAAGCAATTATGTAGCTTAACATACATCTAGTCAGATTCTTAATTTTTACATTTTTATTACGTTAGAAAACTGTGTGATGCATTTCTTAGTTTTTTTAACTTGATTTGTGTCATGCCATATTTGAAAGAAAATTGTCACATTAAATTAAAAATGCACAAAACAGAACTTTTTGTTATTAAATAAAACTAAATGTGCTGGAGACAAAAGTATCAACACATGTTTTTGCATTTAAAATTAATTGCTTTATTAAACAAAGGAGGTATTGAACAAACTAGTCATTGACCTGAACTATTTTTCTAAATTGAAATGAAGAAAATATTCTTTCTATACCTGCAGAGGAGGCTACTGCTGTCAAAAGCTGGTTTAGCACTTCCACAACCTCTGGTTCCAGATGCTTAGCCAGTGACTTCCAGCAGTGCAGTGCTTTGACCTTCTTTAAAACTTGGCAGCAAATATGCACTGCTTAATATTTTTTGTACTTAATTTAAATGATTTATAAATTATAAGCAACTTAGGTCCCAACATAGGTTGTTGATTTCAAATCTAATTTAGAATAGATCTGTATTTAAATACAAAAATCAGGGGTTTTTAAAACAATATTGATTTTTGTATCTAACCTGCCAAAGATAATAAGAGAGGAGACCCTATAAATGCCATTCAAGACAGAACTGTAAAGACTGCGGGGTACATAAATAACATTCTTGCACCACCCAATGACAGTTACATTACT